GCATGAGAAATCTCAGATGAGCACCATTTTTTACACCTAAGGGAGCTAGGAAAAGAACAAACAAAATCCCCACCAGTAGAAGGAAGGAAACAATAAAGATTAGTGTGGAAATAAACAATATAGAAATTTTTTTAAAAAAGAACTGATTAGGGCAGCCCCGGTGGCTTAGTGGTTTGGAGCTGCCTTCGGCCCAGGGCTTGATCCTGGAGACCATGGATTGACTCCGTCAGGCTCCCTGCATGAAGCCTGCTTCTCCCTCTGCCTGTGTCTCTGCATGTCTCTCTCTCTCTCTCTCTGTCTCTAATAAATAAATAAATCTTAAAAAAAAAAACTGATTAGGGCAGCCCTGGAGGCTCAGTGGTTTAGCACTGCCTTTGACCCAGGGCCTGATCCTGAAGACCCAGGATTGAGTCTTGCATTGGGCTCCCCATGAGAGCCTGCTTGGAGCCTGCTTCTCCTTCTGCCTGTGTCTCTGCCTCTCTCTCTCTCTCTCTCTCTCTCTCTCTCTCTGTCTCTCATGAATGAATAAATAAAAAATCTTAAAAATAAAGAACTGATTAGGGGTGACTGGGTGGCTCAGTCAGTTAAGCAGCCTCAGGCTCAAGTCAGGATCCTGAAGTCCTGGAATCAAGTTCTGCATTGGGCTCCTGCTCAGTGGGGAGCTTGCTTCTCCCTCTCCCTCTGCTGCTTCCTCTGCTTATGCTCATTCTTTTTTTCTTTTCTTTTCTTTTCTTTTCTTTTCAGATTTATTTATTTATTCATGAGACACAGGTAGAGGGTCCCCACATTGGGACCCGATTCTGGATCCCGGGATCACGACCTGAGCTGAAGGCAGGCGCCCAACCACTGAGGTACCCAAGCGTCCCTGCTTATTGCCTATGCTCTTTCTTTTTTTCTCTCTCTCTCAAAATCAGAAAACAAAAACCAAAAAACAAAAACAAAACAGATTAATGTAACCAGAAATTGATTCTTTGAAAAAAGAATAACATTGATGATCTTTAGCCATACCCATCAAACAGAGTGAGAAAGAGGACTCAAACAAAAATTATTTTTATTGAATAAATATATAATTATGAATTGTGGTAAAAACTACAAGGAAATTAAAGAAGAGAATAACCAATCCCACAGAAATACAAAGGATTTTAAGAGATTATGAAAAATTATATGTCAACAAATTGGACAATCTAGAAGAAATGGATAAATTCCTAGAAACATATAACCTACCAAAACTAATGAAGGAACGCAAAATTTGGGCAGATCAATTACTAGCAATGAAATTAAATCAGTAATCAAAAAACTCTCAACAAACAAAAGTCCAGGACCAGACAGTGACACAGGTGAATTCTGTCAAAGATTTAAAGATGACTTAATACCTTTTCTTCTCAAACTATTCTAAAAAATAAAGAGGATGGAAAACTTCCAAATTCATTCTATGAGACCAGCATTAGCCTGACACCAAAACAGAAAAGAACACTACATCTCTGATAAAAATAGATAAAAAATCCTTCACAAAACACTTGCAAATAAAACCCAACGATAAATTAAAAAAAATCACTAGCCACAATTAAGTGGGATTTACTCCCAGTGGGGGAAAAAAAAGAGTGGTTTAATGTTTGCAAATCAGTCAACATGCTACATCACATCAAGAGAAAGGATAGGGCAGCCTGGGTGGCTCAGTGATTTATTGCCGCCTTCAGCCCAGGGTGTGATCCTGGAGACCCAGGATCGAATCCCACGTCGGGCTCCTGCATGGAGCCTGCTTTTCCCTCTGCCTGTGTTTCTGCGCCTCTCTCTCTCTCTGTCTCTCATGAATAAATAAATAAAATCTTAAAAAAAGGAGAAAGGATAAAAACCATTAGATCATTTTAATAGACACAGAAAAAGCATTTGACAAATTACAACACCCATTGATGATAAAAGCCCTCAACAAAGTAGGTTTAGAACGAACATACCTCAATATAATAAAGGCCATGTGTGACAAACCTACAGTGAATATCATACTCAATGGTAAAAAACTGAGAGTTTTTCCCCTAAGGTCAGGAAGAAGACAAGGATATCCACTCTCACCAGTTTTATTCAACACAGTACGTAATGTCCTCACCACAGCAACTAGACAACAAAAAGAAATATATGGCACCCAAACTGGTAAGGAAGAAGTAAAACTTCCCTGTTTGCAGAAAGCCTGAAAGACTCCACCAAAAAACTACTAGAACTGACAAATGAATTCAGCAATGTCCCAGGATACAAAGCCAATATAAAGCATTCTATATGCTAATAATAAAGCTGCAGAAAGAGAAATTAAGAAAACTATCCATTCACAATTGCACCAAAAATAATAAAATATCTAGGAATAGACTTAACCAAAGAAGTAAAAGATCTGTTCTCTGAAAACTATAAAACACTGATGAAAGAAACTGAAGACATTCCATCCTTATGAATTGGAAGAACAAATATTTTTTAAAAAGATTTTGTTTATTTATTCATGAGAGACACAGACAGAGGCAGAGACATAGGCAGAGGGAGAAGCAGGCCCCCTGCAGGGAGTCTGATGCAGGACTCAATCCCAGGATCCTTGGATCACCACCTGAGCATTAGGCAGACGTTCAACCTTTGAGCCAAACCACATGTCCTGGAAGAACAAATGTTGTTTAAATGTCTATAAAACCTAAAGCAATCTACACATTTAATGCAATACCTATCAAAACACCAACAGCATTTTTCACAGAGCTAGAACAAACAATCCGACAATTTTAATGGAACCACAAAAGCCCCTGAATAGCCAAAGCAATTTTGAGAAAGAAAACCAAAGTTGGAGGTATCACAATTCCACATTTCTTTTTTTTTTTATTTTTTATTTATTTTTATTTTTTTCCACATTTCAAGTTATATTACAAAGCTATCATAATCAAAACAGTATAATACTGGCATAAACATAGATCAGTCTATGGAACAGATTAGAAAACCTAGGAATAGACCTACAATTGTATGGTCAACTTATTTATGAGAAAGCAGGAAAGAATATCCAATAGGAAAAAGTCTCTTCAACAAATGGTGTTGGGAAAACTGGAAAACATGCAAAAAAAAAAAAAACTGGACATCTTTCTTACATCAATGACAAAAATAAGTTCAACATTGATGAAAGACCTAAAACATAAAATACCTAGAAGAGAGCACAGGCAGTAATTTCTCTGACATTGGCTATAGCAACATTTTTCTAGGTATGTCTCTTGGGGTAAGGGAAGCAAAACCAAAAATAAGCTATTGGGACTACCTCAAAATAAAAAGCTTCAGCACAGTGAAAGTAACAATCAACAAAAACTAGAAAGTAACCTACTGAATAGAAGAAAATATTTGCAATAACATATCTGATTAAAGGTTGGCATCAAAAATATACAAAGAATTTATAAAACTCAAAACCCAAAAAACAAATAATCCAATTTCAAAATGGGCAAAAGACATGAATAGACATTTTTCCAAACAAGACATCCAGATAGCCAAGAGACACATGAAAAGTTGCTCAACATCACTCATCATCAGGGAAATGCAAATCAAAATTACAATAAGCTATCACCTTACACCTGGCAGAATGGCTAAAATAAAAAACACAATAAACAAGTGTTGGTGAGGATGAGGAGAAAAAGGAACCCTCATGCACTATTGGTGGGGATGCAAACTGGTGCAGCCACTCTGGTAAGTGTGGAGGTTCCTCAAATAGTTAAAAATAGAACTGCCCTACAATTCAGCAATGGCACCATCAGGTATTTACACAAATAATGAAAAACAAACACTAATTCAAATTGAGATATGCACTCCCATGTTTATAGCAGCTTTATCTATAATAGGCAAATCTGGAAACAGCCCACACGGCCATTAACTGATGAATGTACAAAGAAGTAGTATATATACACAACATATGACTCAGCCATCCAAAAGAATGAAGTCTTGCCATTTGCAACAACATGGAAAGACCTAGAGTGTATCATGCTAAGTGAAATAAGTCAGTCAGAGAAAGACAAATACCATGTGATTTCACTCATATGTGGAATTTAAGAAACAAAACAAGCAAAGGGGAGAAAAAAAGAGAGAAGCCAAGAAACTGACTCTTAAGTGTAGATAACAAACATGATTACCAGAGGGGAGATGAAAAGAGATGAAGAGGATAAGAATTCATTTATCATGATAAGCACCGAGTAATATATTGTACACCCGAATTACTATATTGCACACCTGAAACTAATATAACACTATTAGCTACACTGGATTAAACTAATTTAATTTTAAAAATCTCTATGTAAATACAAATATCCCTTCTGTATTTCCCAATCCCTTTAACTATGCAGTTGAAGAGCTGGCATCTAACCTTCATCTAGAAGTGATTTACCTTCCATTTGACATGATCAAAAACAAATAGAAGAAATGTCTTCCCAGCAATGAATGTGCTCCATTTAAATGATAGGCTTGTGGATGTCAGTATGTGACCGTTTCTATTTGAAAAGTCTCCAAAGATGAAATAAGATATTTTAGAGTAAACTTAAGGGATCAACCATTGTGATGGAATTTGGTGATGGAGAACATTTTGAATTCCAGCTCAACAAAATATTCCCCTACTTAAAGAATTTTATAAAAAAAAAAAAATGAAAAAGTAGGAGAATTTTATTCTCCTCAGTAGACCTGCAGCACAACAAAGCAAGCTATTCATTCATCACAGTTTGAGCATCTAACTACAAATGGGGAGGGGACTGGCACTCAGGGCCGCGGGGGCGCCTCGCCCAGCAGCTCCTCTGCCGGGGACCGGCCACGGAAGGGTCCTGGGCCGCGTCGCCGCCCCGAGCTCCCAAACCTCCTCTACCTGCCACCGCCTCCCAGCAGGGGCGCTCCGCTAAGCCCGGGCGGGGGGCCACGCCGCGCCCCCACCGCCCCTCCCCCGCCGCTGCGCTCTGCTCCGACCCCGCACGCTGGGGGCCGCACGCTGGAGGCCTGCCGCCGGAGCGCCCCAGCGCATGCGCAGTCGGAGCCCCAGCCGGCACGGCGCGGCCGCCACGGCGGGGGAGCACGTCAGAGCCCGCCGGCGTCGGGGGGGCCCGTCCGGCAGCAGGGGCCTCGCCTTGGGCGTCTCTGGCCGAGGCGGGAGGGTCCTCGTCACCCTGTTCCCCGGAGTTAGGACGGCGGCGGCGGCAGGGGGCGGAGTCGCCCCGCGCCCTTTGTCGGTGGAGGCCGGTGAGTGAGGCGCGGGCCCAGGGGGTGGGGGTGGGGAGTGGGGACGGCGGAGGTGCCGGGTGGCCCCCTGCGCTCCGCCCCGGGCAGCGCCCTCTGTCCGCTCGGAGGGCCTCCCCATCCGGAGACTGTACGCAGAGTTTCCTCTGGGCTCTTCCGCAGTGGGGGTTTCTGTAGAAGAAGGTGGGATCATTTGTTGGAAAGTTTATCGCCTTCTCAACATTATTAAAACATTCACCTTTACTTTTTCTCTAATGGTTTTAAAGGATTTTTAAAGTATCTTTGTTTACATTTCTACCTATATGTTGTTAGGTATTCATTTTGTGTTAGGAATCTACGTTTACCCCACTTGTCCTGCCGTTAGATATTGAATCATTTTCCCACCGAATTGAAGTGACACTTTTATTATATTCTGCAGGCGTGTCTACTTTGTGACCTTGAGTCTGTTTCCAGACGATTTCTCACAGCTCTGACAGTTTTGCCCATAAATGTTTTGCCTTTCATTACATGGGTCTTAGTCTTGGTGTAGATTAACCCAAGTGGTAACTGTTTCCAAAGCAGCAACCATATTGAATTCCTGTAACTTAGAGAATCTTCCTATAGTTGACATTTTTTTTTTATTTATTTACGATAGTCACACACACACACACACACACAGAGAGAGAGAGAGAGAGAGAGGCAGAGACACAGGCAGAGGGAGAAGCAGGCTCCATGCACCGGGAGCCCGACGTGGGATTCGATCCCGGGTCTCCAGGATCGCGCCCTGGGCCAAAGGCAGGCGCCAAACCGCTGCGCCACCCAGGGATCCCCATATAGTTGACATTAATTGCCATAAGTAACTATATACTACTTTGAGAAGAAAACATGTCAAAAACAAAGTTCTGATATGGGATGAAACTGAAAAATCCAGTGTTTGTAAACCTGAGTGAAGAGAGTTACAGACCAACTGAAAAATCAATTTATTTCAATAAACTGACTTTCTAGGGGTATTGATCATTGTTTTGTATTTCCAAAGTATTGAGTTTAGAAATCAGTTGGATAATAATGCTTTTATATGTTTGTCTTTTCCCTTGTATTTTTTAAACCAGTAATCTAGGGATCCCTGGGTGGCGCAGCGGTTTGGCGCCTGCCTTTGGCCCAGGGCGCGATCCTGGAGACCCGGGATCGAATCCCACGTCAGGCTCCCGGTGGATGGAGCCTGCTTCTCCCTCTGCCTGTGTCTCTGCCTCTCTCTCTCTCTCTGTGACTATCATAAATAAATAAATTGAAAAAAAAATTTAAAAAAAAAATAAACCAGTAATCTATACTTGAATAAAATTTTTCTTTCATGTAAAAAAAAAAACTACCGTTTTTAGTGTAAAATATATTTTAATATGTGGCAGAGCAAATCCTCCTTAAATATGTCCTTGGATATAATGGTCAGTTTCTTTTGATGGATTCGAAATAGTGGAAAATGTAAAGATACAAACATGATAATTCTCTAAGAGACAGATTTGATCATGGTAGCAGCTAGTTATTAAATGAGGGAATGTTTGTTGAAAGTCACCGTGTTGAGATCTTTTACATGTTTCCCTATTGCCATCAGGATAATGCTTGCTTTCTTAGAAGTGCCCTCAAAGCCCTTTATGATTTTACTATTGCAGACTGTTTTGTCTTCCTCCCTTGCACATCATGCTGTAGCCATACCAAACTACTTAAACATGATACACAACCCTCTGGGAAAAATTCATTAATTTGATTATGTCAAAATTTTAAATTTCTGTATTCAGAGCAAAGACCTAAAAGTCAACACATGAAAATATTTGCAGCATGTGTAAGAGACAAAGGGTTAATGTCCATTATATGTAAAGAGCCTCTGATAATAGCAAAAAAAAAAAAAAAAAAGGGAAATGGGCAAAGGATATGCATAGGCAATTTATAGTAGAAATATAAGTAACCAAAAAACAACAACAACAAAATTTTAATGCTTAACCTCATAAATAACCATTCGATGCAAATGAAGACAGATATTTTCACTCAGTACACTGGAAATATATAAAAATACTGATGATAAAAGGTGTTGAGGAAAGTGCTGCAGAAAAAAAGTGCTGGGGAAAAGGTTACCAGTTGTAAAATAGAATAAGGTAGTTTATTTTGAAGTTAACAAAGATTTCTTTTTTTTTCATTTTTTTTAATGAATTAATTTTTATTGGTGTTCAATTTACCAACATACAGAATAACACCCAGTGCTCATCCCGTCAAGTGTCCCCCTCAGTGCCCGTCACCCATTCACTCCCACCCCCCGCCCTCCTCCCCTTCTACCACCCCTAGTTCATTTCCCAGAGTTAGGAGTCTTTATGTTCTGTCTCCCATTCTGATATTTCCCACACATTTCTTCTCCCTTCCCTTATATTCCCTTTCACTATTATTCATATTCCCCAAATGAATGAGAACATACACTGAACAAAGATTTCTAATACTGAGTAAAGGATGCTGTAGAACCATGGCACATATTATGGTGTGCGTTAAGTAGGGATGTGGTAATATTATATATGTTCATAAATGCCCAAAAAAGGATGTACACCGAATGACAGTGAAGTACTTCCAGGGAGGGAAGTAGAAGAGTGATTGAACATCACTCAGTGTTACTCATAGACTCCCATGTTTTGTGTCCTTATGTTTTCATGTAACATGTATAAAAAAAACTTGTGTATATCTATAACTTGTGTAAGGAAAAAAAGATGCAGAAAAATTTAAAATTAACTTAAGGAAAGCAGTAAAGAATAAACGACAAATGATAACATGGAGACTACATTTGTTATTTATGTTATCACAAGAGAGTTGCTGTTTACTGTGTTTGTGTTTGGGGACCCCAAAACCATCTGTAGGTTCAGTTATTTGCTAAACAGACTCCTAGAACTCAGTAAAGTTGTTATACTTACAGTAGCATGAGTAGTACAGTGAAAAGATACAGATTAAAACCAGCAACAAAAAAAACAAGAGACCAGGTACAAGCTTCCAGTTGTCTCCTCTCAATAAGAGTAATGCAGATAGTGTTTAATTCTCCCAGAAGTGATATGTAATAACACATATGCAGTGTTACCAATCAGGATTCTCATCCAAACTTTGGCATCCAGAGTGTTGATTAGAAGTCGGTCATGTAGGCATAGCTGACCACCTGTGTAACTGACCTTCAGTCTCCAGTCCTTCCAGAAGTCAAGCTGATACCACATGGCCCAAGAATCCTACCATAAATCCTATTTTAGCATAGCATATCTGACCTCTGGAAGCCTGAGGTAAACAGACACTCATAACAGGCAGGATATTGCAAGGTATTACAGGTTCTCTCTCAGGAACTAGGCCAGGGCCAAACTTTTTCTTAAAATGTGCAGAGTTTGGACACCCAGACCCACTCAGTTAATCCCTTCCTGCACACTATACTCTGTAATAAAGATTTCTTACAAATCAATAAGTAAAAGGCAAAGTGGTAGAAAGGTGGACAAATGACACAAGGGTAAGAGTTCAAAACATGAAATAGGAAAGCTAAAAATAGAGAAGTTCTGCTTCCCATGTTATCTATGAGTTACATACTAAAGTAGCAATAATATACTATTTAAATACTATATGTAAAAAGAATGTTTACTATTCTTGGCTAATGTTCACTGTCATATATTGTTGATGAATTAGTTAATTCTTCAGTGCATTTTACCTTTGTTTTGATCCAGCAGTTCCAATTCTAGGAATTTATCCTAAAGAAATAATCAGACAAGATTATGTCAAAACTGTATGTTTGGTGTTGTCTATAACAGCAAAAGAAAGAAAGGCTCCCAGAAATGTTTATTAATAATGAAGTTGTTAAATAAATTTTGGGCATTGCATGCAATTGATTATATACTATGACACTAATATTTAAATTTTTTTATTATTTTTTATTTGTTTATATATCTTCATATAGATGTTTATTATCATTTTTAAATTGAGTATACTTAACATAATAGTGTTATATTAACTTCAGGTATACAATAAGTGATTAATCAATTCTACATATTGCTCCATAAGTATACTCTTTAATCCTCATCACCTATTTCATCTATTCCCCCCCCCTTCATCCCCCCTACCCACCTCCCCTCTGGTAACTATCAGTTCTTTATAGTTAAGAGTCTTTTTCTTGGCTTGTCTCTCTTCTTTTTTTTTTCCTTTTTTTTAATTTCTTTTGTTAAATACCACATATGAATAAAAATGTAGAATACTAAATAAGGCAGAACAAATTCCTGCCTTCATGGAGGTTAACATCACACAATGGTGAGGTATAAATAAAAATGGCGACTATACAAATAATGACAATGATAAAGGTGCTAGCAAAACCAGGAGGGTATAAATGAGGGACCTCCCTAGGTTTGTATATCAAAACCTTCATTGATTTAAGCTAAGACCTGAAGGGAGAGTAGGTATTGTCTGGGGAGGAGGTAGGGAGATAAAGCACACATGGCACACTTAAGGACGTAAAAGCACAACAGTGTAGATGAAGACTCTGAAGCAAATGGGAGTAGCTCGAGAGGTCAGGAAGCAGGTCATAGGATTTTTTATGGCTTTGTACTGCAGCCTAAGGACTGTAGAGAGCCACTAAAAAATTTCAAAGTGAGGTACTGTTTCAAAGTCAGGTTTGTATACTTTATAAGTAAAGATGCCTTTACCTCACCTGTGGAGGATGCAAAAATAGTTATTGGAAAATCCTAAGGAACAACAATATGTAGATGGTAAGCAGAGGAAAAGGGACTAGTGCATAGTCCACTGAGAAGGACTGTGGACATAAAGCAAAACACAGTTGTCAGCAGCGTCAGATACCCATCAGAGCTCAAGAAGTAATGAACTCCATTGCTTGAACAACATAAGGGTTTTGGATATTCCTAACCAGAGCAATTTCAGTAGTGTGCTGATGGCAGAACAGCAGAAAGATCATACATAGATAATTTAAAAATAAATGGGTAATGAAGTAGAGAAAAGTATTGACAATCCTTTGCAGAGTTGTAGCCTTGAAAAAAGAATGGATGCCAGTTACAAATGGGCACATAGCCAGGGAAAATTTTTAATGTTGAGAGAGATATTAAAAAATTTTAAGGGGCAGCCCCGGTGGCGCAGCGGTTTAGCGCCGCCTGCAGCCCAGGGCATGATCCTGGAGACCCTGGATGGAGTCCCACGTCAGGCTCTCTGTGTGGTGCCTGCTTCTCCCTCTGCCTGTGTCTCTGCCTCTCTCTCTCTCTCTCTCTCTCTCTCTGTCTCTATGAATAAATAAAATAAAAATCTTTAAAAAAAAATTTAAATTGGGCCACCTGGGTGGCTCCAGTCAGTTAAGTGTCTGCCTCCAGCTCAGGTCATGATCTTGGGGTCCTGGGATGAGCCCTGCATGGGACTCTTGACTCCGCAGGGGGCCTGCTCTCTCTCCCTTTGTCCCTCATGTGCGCGCTCTCTCTCTCAAGTAAATAAATAAATCTTTTAAAAAAAAGATTTTAAATTAGGAAGGAGTCAATAAATGTGACAGATAAAGTTGAAGATAGGAATGAGAAGGTACATGCTAGATTCAGGCTTATAGGGAACCTGGAGAAAATGGTCTGATTCCAGGGAAGGAATACTTTTAATGCAAATCTCTGGGCCAAGAATACCCACCTAGAGATGCCATTTCATTACATCTGGGACAGGACCAGTGGATCTGCTTCTCAGCAAATGGCATGATACCAAGGATCTTCAGACCACACTTTGAGGAGCACTGCTGCTTTTTCTATTTTTCCCTTACATGAAGCTACTCCTGTCTTTACTTCCTTTCCCATCCAGTCTAGAATCTAAGGTCTCCTGATTCACAGTTTAATGTTTTGTAAGGTAAGGAAGACTTCAGAAGTGCTGTGGTACTAGATGTGGTGACTGAAGTAGAATGACGATGAAAATCATTGGCATGGAGGAAGTGAAGGAAATGAGAGACTCCAATAGTTGTTCTGAATTTCTGCATCAGAATCACTTGTGAGACATTTAAAAAATGAGTAGATGCCAGACTTCACCTCAACAGATTCTGGTTTAGTAGCTCTTGGGTGGAGCCTGGACATGTATACATTTACATATGTATAGTTTAGAATCTGGGCTTTGTCTAATACACAGCCCAGATTGAGAAAACATGAGTTTTCTACATGATCCATGAAGTTCACTCAGATTTTTAGAAGAGCCTTGAGGGAAAAAGATGTTATCCCTAAAGTCATTCTTCATCTGAATTGATTATAATTCTTGTATTCCTTAGACAGTCAAGGAAATTTGTTACCTTCCAAGCTATCATGGCTACTTATTTGAAAAAGTCTGTGGGATTACTAGAAAAGTCTGGAAAAGTCTTTGTGTGTGTTGTATGAAAAAATTACAATTTGGGGGTGGGGAGTGGTTGGTTTAGAGGGGTTTTATGTGTGTATCTTTCCAATACAGGAATTGAAAGGGAAATTATGAGAAGAAAGATCAGATACCAACAATGAAAAGGTACAGAACAAGTACTAAGGAGAACTTCAGTGTATCCTAGAAGGAGCCTAGAGCTGTGAACCAGGGATCTTCAGTTTCAGATCCCTCATTAAACCAAAACACTGAGAACTAAATCAGCATTTCCAAGTGTGTGTTCTCTGGAGACTTAGTCTTATCAGATGCCATAAAAAATTCTCAACTAAATTTGCATAGACTATATCATATATTTGACACTCCCCATCCCCTTGGGGTCACACATATGACGAAGAAACATGTTCTGCCTCACTTGGTAAATGTTTTTATTGTTGTGAATAGTTGGTTTTGAAGTGATTGGGTTTGAAATGTCAAGCATTCTCAGAAGATTGCTGGTGGCTCTTCAGAGAGTAGGACCCTTGTAGAGCTTTTGCTTGGACCAATAGGACCTGCTTTTTAAAGTGCTTTTAAATTATGCCTGAAAGGTCTGCCTCTTAGTTGACTGGTTGTAAAACTGTGGATTTGTGCCATATCTTGAGTGGTGGGTGGCTACCTCATCTAATAGACCATTCCACTGGAACTGTGATTTTCTTTGTTTAAAAAACTTGCTTCTCAGGAAATGACTTCATTCTTCAGTTCCATCACTAACTTTTGAGAGAAATTTTCAGGCTAACCTTTGTGAACAGAAAAAGAATGTATCCTTCCACATTTCTAAGCCATTCAAAGTATTTTACCCTGTTGTTAATGTTGATGAAAGTCTTTCTGAAAATCTTTCACTAAGCAAGGACCACGTGTTTTCTAGTCTGAGAAGAGGGTGGGTAGGAACTGAGGCCAAAGTTTGTTGTAGCTGATGGATATGTATATCTCTGCTTTTTGTAATATGTGAATCTAAGAAATTTTAAAAATGCTTTTTGAATGTTTTTAAAGAATCCCACACTGTAGTATGTCCTATCTTTATGAATGGTAGTTTATATGTTTCTTTACAGACTCTCTAGGTCCCTAGTTGACTCAGACTGCTGGATTTTTGTTGACTGGTGCATCTCATTACAGGTGCTCAACCTGATATTGTGTCTTACAAGATCCCTGCCAGGAGAGAGATTTGAATGTCATAGTGAAGTCCATACATGAAGAATTGATGCCTTTAGTGGAAAAAAAAGTAATAGCCATCTTCAGGAATTCCCACATCTCAATTCTGCATGACAAAGCAAGATTCTAAGAGTGGCTGCCCCTGAGAAGCTGAAATCTTGTGGATAGCTTTTGGCTCCTGAGGCTCTCATCAGAGATGAGGCACCTTTAATACCTGGGAGTGACTATTCTCCATAAGGCACTGGAAAATCAACTTGCAGGGACTGACAAGGACACTGAGACTGTTAGTCCTAGTGTGTCTCCTGACGGTCCTTCTAGAAGAGAGCAGATCTTTGGTGACATTACAACTTACGAACTGTACAGAGGTGTAGGAATCGTGGTGGTGCACTGAATCCGGCACTCAGAAAAGAAGGTGAACACTCTTAAAACTGAGAAGAGTGAAATCTCCTTTGTATATGAGAAAGATCATGTTAAAAAGAGCAAAAGAGGGATGCCTGGGTAGCTCAGCGGTTGAGCGCCTGCCTTTGGCTCAGGGCATGATCCCAGTGTCCTGGGATCAAGTCCCACATTGGGCTCCCTGTGAGGAGCCTGCTTCTCCCTCTGCCTGTGTCTCTGCCTCTCTCTGTGTGTCTCCCATGAATAAATAAATAAAATCTTAAAAAAAAAATGAGTAAAGGAGAGAAGATCTTTGGAGTTTGAGTTTGGGAATGAATTTATCACCTTAAAGAATAAGATTAGGCCCTTAACATAGGTTTTTTTTGTATCAGCTCATCTCAGTGGATCTCATCTCCTACTTCCTACTTAAAATCACTGGGTGACTTTAGATTTAAGATGCTGTTTCCTAGGCCCACCCCAGACCATTTTGGATAATCCTGGATTTATCCAAATCTCTGGACTGGATGGGTGATGGGCATTAAGTGGGGGTATGTGTTATGATAAGCACTGGGTATTGTATGTAAGTGATGATTCACTGAATTCCACTCCTAAAACCAATATTGCACTGTATGTTAAACTAACTAGAATTTAAATAAAATTAAAAGAAACAAAAACGAAAAAACATCTCTGGGAATAGGGGCTGAACATTGGCATTTAAAAAAAATCCCTGAAATGTGTAGTCAGGACTAAAATCCACTGAGCTTTCTATATGCTACAATAAGAGAAAGAGAAGATCCTACACTGAATTCCTCAATAAGTTATTCAACTTTTAAGCTTTTGTCTTAGAGGGCTTCTCTCTAAACTGCCATCCTGACAGGAAGTAAACATTCCAAAGGTTAGTTTCAGCATTAACGTCATGTGTTTACCAAATGCTTCTTTTTTCTTTTTCCCAGTTATGCCCTCTTACAATGCTATACTTTCCCAAGGGGAGAACATGGAGGAAAAGGAATTGAATGATGGATCACAGATAGTCAGGTCTCAGGTAAGTTCAGTTTTACTCTTTTCTGAAATGCTGTTATAATTCTAAGAACATGGGCACTTTTATTTTTCAATTCTCAGAAGTGAATCCAGAGCCCTTTAGACTGTTAGGACAGATGATAATCTCTACAGGATGTTTCCCATTCACTTTATATACCCTTTATAGCTCTTCTCTCCTTCCCAGCATTTTTAGTAGATCATGGGCTCAGGTCTGTGCTGGATATTGTAAAAGAAAAAGAACCCATAGACTATCTTTTAATCACCCATCACTTAAGCATTTCAGCAGACTTTAAACAACACTTGCCATTCTCTGCAAACAATGACTGCCATTCACTCTGTAAAGGATGATGTCCAGGTCACAATGACTACTTGGGACTAATGACATTATTTAATATGCCTGAGGACATCTGCCAGGAGTTAATGTTTATCAAGAGTCTGTTGTACCTCTTGCAAAAGCTGTCTAAGCCTGTTGCTAACTATTTTAGAATTCGATTATGTATTATGTAAACTGATGAGGTGTAACTATGACAAGGATTTGTTTCAAATGCTTTGGAAAGACCTTATAAACGTCAGTCACTTTTTAAAAAATTGCTATCAAATTATGTGTGCGCAAACTGTAACACACTGAAGGAAAATCATAAAAATCTTAGAGGATTCTACACCTATATTATTTCCAAACTGTCACTTGCTTGTTGCATTTTAATGAAACAGAAACTGATGCGTTAGGAGTATGGACATTTCATTATTAAAATCACTCTCATAGAAAAGGCTTGGTTTCACATCAACAGATGAGCAAATGAATATGAAGTTATATATTTGAAATGAAAGTGTTAAGATATCTTCTGTGGATCTCAACTTTAACCAATTTTTACCTTAACACACCAGATACTAGTATCAAATGCTTTAGATTATATGAGATAAACATTGTCTATAGGTACCCAATAAACTCATCAGAGGAGATTTTACCCAGCGAAACCTACAATATTCATAAAAGTCTAATGTTGGATGCTGCTAAGCATGCAAAATACAACAAATACAAGAGGTAATCAGAGAAGGGAGAAATCTTTTTTTTTTAATAATAAATTTATTTTTTATTGGTATTCAGTTTGCCAACATACAGAATAACACCCAGTGCTCATCCCATCAAGTGCCCCCCTCAGTGCCCATCACCCATTCACCCCAACCCCCGCCCTCCTCCCCTTCCACCACCCCTAGTTCATTTCCCAGAGTTAGGAGTCTTTATGTTCTGTCACCCTTTCTGATATTTCCCACACATTTCTTCTCCCTTCCCTTCTATTCCCTTTCACTATTATTTATATTCGAGAAGGGAGAAATCTGATTTGAGACTAGAGGAATGAGAGTAGACTTCATAAAGAAGGTGGAGTTTGAATTTTTGCTAATATCGGTAATTTGAAGATTAAAGAAGACAGGACCATTGCAGACAGGAAATAAAATTTGTGCAAGAGCAGGGACAATAAGGAAGAGGGAGATTGTCCGCTGCAGCTGAGCATTATTTGGTACATTGCTGCTTTGGGATCTTTGGATTGCAGGGAATAGACTTATATTCAGTTCACTCTTAATTATAAGGTTCCTCACAGACAGTACTAGGAAGACATCAAAAACTCAAGTGATACAGTGAACTGCTTCTTGGCATTCCAGCCAAAGGGGTTTGTTTTAATTCTCCAGAACCCCTTGTTATGTTAAGAAACAAGGTAGTTCATTCAACAAGTATTTTTTGAGCAATACAATGTGCCAGAAATTGTGCTTGGTGTGAGAAATACATCAGTGGGCAAAAGAGATATTTTCTTTTTTTCTTAATAAATTTATTTTTTATTGGTGTTCAATTTGTCAACATACAGAATAACACCCAGTGCTCATCCCGTCAAGTGCCCCCCTCAGTGCCCGGCACCCATTCACCCCCAGCTCCGCCCTCCTCCCCTTCCACCACCCCTAGTTCATTTCCCAGAGTCAGGAGTCTTTATGTTCTGTCTCCCTTTCTGATATTTCCCACTTATTTATTCTCCTTTCCCCTTTATTCCCTTTCACTATTTTTTATATTCCCCAAATAAATGAGACAATATAATGTTTGTCCTTCTTTCACTCAGCATAATACCCTCCAGTTCCATCCACGTTGAAGCAAATGGTGGGTATTTGTCGTTTCTAATGGCTGAGTAATATTCCATTGTATACATAAACCACATCTTCTTTATCCATTCATCTTTCAATGGACACCGAGGCTCCTACCACAGTTTGACTATTGTGGACATTGCTGCTAGAAACATCGGGGTGCAGGTGTCCCGGCGTTTCATTGCATCTGTATCTTTGGGGTAAATCCCAGCAGTGCAATTGCTGGGTCGTAGGGCAGATCTATTTTTAACTCTTTGAGGAACCTCCACACAGTTTTCCAGAGTGGCTGCACCAGTTCACATTCCCACCAACAGTGCAGGAGGGTTCCCTTTTCTCCGCATCCTCTCCAACATTTGTGGTTTCCTGCCTTGTTAATGTTCCCCATCTCACTGGTGTGAGGTGGTATCTCATTGTGGTTTTGATTTGTATTTCCCTGATGGCAAGTGATGCAGAGCATTTTCTCATGTGCATGTTGGCCATGTCTATGTCTTCCTCTGTGAGATTTCTCTTCATGTGTTTTGCCCATTTCATGATTGGATTGTTTGTTTCTTTGGTGTTGAGTTTAAGAAGTCTTTATAGATCTTGGAAACTAGCCCTTTATCTGATATGTCATTTGCAAATATCTTCTCCCATTCTGTAGGTTGTCTTTGTCTTTTAGTTTTGTTGACTGTATCCTTTGCTGTGCAAAAGCTTCTTATCTTGACGAAGTCCCAGTAGTTCATTTTTGCTTTTCTTTCTTTTGCCTTCGTGGATGTATCTTGCAAGAAGTTACTGTGGCTGAGTTCATAAAGGGTGTTGCCTGTGTTCTCCTCTAGGATTTTGATGGAATCTTTTCTCACATTTAGATCTTTCATCCATTTTGAGTTTATCTTTGTGTATGGTGAAAGAGAGTGGTTTAGTTTCATTGTTTTGCATGTGGATGTCTAATTTTCCCAGCACCATTTATTGAAGAGACTGTCTTTTTCCAGTGGATAGTCTTTCCTCCTTTTCGAGTATTAGTTGACCATAAAGTTGAGGGTCCACTTCTGGTTTCTCTATTCTGTTCCATTGATCTATGTGTCTGTTTTTGTGCCAGTACCACACTGTCTTGATGACCACAGCTTTGTAGTACAACCTGAAATCTGGCATTGTGATGCCCCCAGCTCTGGTTTTCTTTTTTAAAATTCCCCTGGCTATTCGGGGTCTTTTCTGATTCCACACAAATCTTAAAATAATTTGTTCTAACTCTCTAAAGAAAGTCCATGGTATTTTGATAGGGATTGCATTAAACGTGTACATTGCCCTGGGTAACATTGACATTTTCACAATATTAATTCTGCCAATCCAGGAGCATGGAATATTTTTCCATCTCTTTGTGTCTTCCTCAATTTCTTTCAGATGTGTTCTATAGTTTTTAGGGAATAGATCCTTTAACTCTTTGGTTAGGTTTATTCCTAGGCATCTTATGCTTTTGGGTGCAATTGTAAATGGGATTGACTCCTTAATTTCTCTTTCTTCAGTCTCATTGTTAGTGTATAGAAATGCCACTGACTTCTGGGCATTGATTTTGTATCCTGCCACGCTACCAAATTGCTGTATGAGTTCTAGCAATCTTGGGGTGGACGCTTTTGGGTTTTCTATGTAGAGTATCATGTCATCAGGGAAGAGGGAGAGTTTGACTTCTTTTTTGCCAATTTGAATGCCTTTAATGTCTTTTTGATGTCTGATTGCTGAGGCTAGGACTTCCAGTACTATGTTGAATAGCAGTGGTGAGAGTGGACATCCCTGTCTTGTTCCTGATCTTAGGGGAAAGGCTCCCAGTGTTTCCCCATTGAGAATGATATTTGCTGTGGGCTTTTTGTAGATGGCTTTTAAGATGTCGAGGAAAGTTCCCTCTATCCCTACACTCTGAAGAGTTTTGATCAGGAATGGATGCTGTGTTTTGTCAAATGCTTTCTCTGCATCTAATGAGAGGATCATTTGGTTCTTGGTTTTTCTCTTGCTGATATGATGAATCACATTGATTAATTTACGAGTGTTGAACCAGCCTTGTGTCCCGGGGATAAATCCTACTTGGTCATGGTGAATAATTTTCTTAATGTGTTGTTGGATCCTATTGGCTAGTATCTTGTTGAGAATTTTTGCATCCATGTTCATCAGGGATAGTGGTCTGTAATTCTCCTTTTTGGTGGGGTCTTTGTCTGCTTTTGGAATTAAGGTGATGCTAGTCTTATAGAATGAATTTGGAAGTACTCCGTCTCTTTCTATCTTTCCAAACAGCTTTAGTACGATAGGTATGGTTTCTTCTTTTAAACGTTTGATAGAATTCCCCTGGGAAGCCATCTGGCCCTGGACTCTTGTGTCTTGGGAGGTTTGTGATGACTGCTTCAATTTCCTCCCTGGTTATTGGCCTGTTCAGGTTTTCTATTTCTTCCTGTTCCAGTTTTGGTAGTTTGTGGCTTTCCAGGAATGCGTCCATTTCTTCTAGGCGGCCTAATTTATTGGCGTAGAGCTGTTCATAATATGTTTTTAAAATCGTTTGTATTTCCTTGGTGTTGGTAGTGATCTCTCATTTCTCATTCACAATTTTATTAATTTGAGTCCTCTCTCTTCTTTTTACTAAGGCTGGCTAATGGTTTATGTATCTTATTAATTCTTTCAAAGAACCAACTCCTGGTTCTGTTGATCTGTTCCACAGTTCTTCTGGTCTCGATTTTGTTGAGTTCTGCTCGAATCTTAATTAACTCTCTTCTGCTGGGTGTAGGATCTATCTGCTGTTTTTTCTCTAGCTCCTTTATGTGTATGGTTAGCTTTTGTATTTGAGTTCTTTCCAGTTTTTGAATGGATGCTTGTATTGCGATGTATTTCCCCCTTATGACTGCTTTTGCTGCATCCCAA